CCTCAATAGGGCAAGGCTCTTCAGGTCTGAACATGGGCCAGTTTTAGTCAGTGAATCCATCATTAGCCTAGTTTCCTTTTCTAAGTGACTATTTATTCAAGAGTCAAGATCCTCCGCTCTTTAATTCAGACAATTCACTGCACCCTTGACAGTGATAATTCAGTCTTAGTACTCAGGTACCCCTATAGATCCACCTGGGGACATGGGGCACCCTTCAGAAGAATTTACAGAATAGGTAAGACCATTGGGTGACTCTAACCACCAGGAGAGGTCTGTGGCTTGGGGCCCTGCAGGATGGCAGACAGGGTGTTCCAGGGCCCAAGGCACTAGTCACTCCCAGCAGAGGTGCAAACACTATGGCCCAGACCCAGACTAGTACTTGGGGACAGTCTCTCCACAGCTCACAGCTCAGCTCATACTCCTGGGCAGGAGTTCCCCATCCAGAAGGCCCTATTTCTGTATGCCACACCCAGTCACCAAACTAAATGGCTGAAAGGGGTTCCAAACATTTTTTTCCCAAAATTACAATTTATTTATGTATATGTGTGGGCTCATATGCCACGGTATGCCTGTGGAAGTCAGAGGCCAACCTAAGAGGTCGGTTCGTTCTTTCTGTTATATGTGTCCTTCGGATTGAACTCTCAAGTCAAATGCCTTTATCTGCTGAGCATCTTGTCAGCAGCCAACTTTCTTACACTTTTATTTTATGGGGTTTTGCCTGCATGTATGTCTGTGCACTGCATTCATGGAGTGCTGAGGAGGCAAGAAGAGAGTATAGGATCCCACAGAACTAGAGTCAGCATAGGCGCTGGAACTGAACCCAGGTCCTCTGGAAGAGCAGTGAGAAGTGCTCTTAATTGCAAAGCCATTTCTCCAGCCCTGAACATCTGAAACATTTCCTTTAATCCTTAACTAGTACTTCCAATTCTGTGGTCAAACAAACAAACAAAACCCTCTATCTCATCTAATGACCAAAGTTTGAGAGAAAAGTCCAGGTTCAGCCCTATGTCCCAAACCTCCTCTCCAGCCCCACCCGCTGTACCCTGTACTTCTCTGAACCAGTTGTACACGCCTGCTGAATAAATGAGTCCATGCGGTTTGGGACTAACTCAGTGGACATCCTATGCCATTCCTAACCCAAATGCCCACTACCCTCTGCTCTGGAGCCGAGGCAGGCTTCAGTCTTCTTTTGAAAGTGCCTTTATTTTTGGTCAAAGTTAAAAACAGGAAAGAGCAGGGTGGTGGTGGTGCACAGTCTTTAATTTCAGCATTAAGGAGGCAGAGGCAGGTGGATTTCTGGGAGTCCAAGGCCAGCCTGGCCTACAAAGCTAATTCCAGGACAGCCAAAGCTACACTAGAGAAACCTGTCTCAAAAAACAAACAGACAAACAAACAAAGCAAAACAACCCCTTCCCCAAATAAAAACGGGGAAAAATGCCACTTCTTGAATCCCGATCAGCTCCAAAGAAGAGCGGTCACCATGGAGCCAGCACAGCTCCCGCTTTGTGGTCCTCTGCCTTTAACCCGTTAGTTCAGGGTGAAGGCCTGCTTTGTCACTGTGTGGGAACTCTTGATGCTTCCTCTGCTACAAGAGCTAGGCACGAGAGCTAGGCCCAGACTACCTCCTAGGCCAGTGGTTCTTAACCTTCCCAATGCTTCGACCCTTTAATTCAGTTCCTCGTGTTGAGATGAACCCCAACTATAAAATTATTTTTGTTGCTACTTCATAAGTGTAATTTTGCTGTTATACATTGTAATGTAAATATTTGTGTTTTCTAATAGTCTTAGGTGACCCCTGTGAAAGGGTTATTAGACCTTCCCAAAGGGTCTCGACCCATAGGTTGAGAACCACTATTCTAGACAGACAGTCAGCCGAGGCACAACAATAACCACACAACAGACACCACACTGAAGTCTCACTCCACTCGCCCAACCTGTAAGGCTGCTGTACTCAATGTACTGAACCATAACTACTCATCAAAGAGTAAGAAGTTAGAATTCGCCAGGCAGCGGTGACACACAACTCTAATCCCAACACTGGGGAGGCAGAGCCAGGTGGATCTTTGTGAGTTCAAGGCCAGCCTAGGCTACAGAGCGAGATCTAGGACAGGCACCAAAACTACACAGAGAAACCCTGTCTCAAAAAAACCAAAAAGAAAAAAAAAAAGAATTCTTCTCAAACAACACTCAAATAACCTTGACACCTTATTACCTACGTCCACTGGTGTTTCTTCTAGAAGGAAAATCCCAGACACAGCATGCACCTGGATCTGAGTTCAGACTAAACTACTACTTATTGAGTATGTGGCTTATCAGGCACATGCAGTTTTAGCTGAACCCCTCTGACCCCTGCAGGTAAGAACTGTTGAACTGGATCACCCAATGGACATACCAATCAAGGACTTTCAGCACTCACACATCAGAAGCATGGTGATGAAAACTATTTTCTATAAAGAAAATGTACTACAACTGCTTTCAAAGGAAGAATAAATGTGTTTTTGTAAACCAACACCCCCTGCCCATCTCCTGGACTCAAGCAATCAATTCTTCCACCTCAGCCTTTATAGTAGCTGAGAATACAGGGGTGCACCATCAGGCTGTTTGCTAAGACTTCTTTATGTTCTGCAGCTCCATGTCCTCTCTTGTCTATCATGAAGGAATCCGAATCTTTTCAGCACTTATAGAAGACACAGATGTCCATCTAGTCTGGTGGTGTTCTTTGCCTAAATGCAGCATATGAGGTTCTGAGAAGGGAAATGGCCTTTTCCTAGAGTTCCAGAGTCACAACGATGGACCTGCAGTGTGGTCTGCCATCTCCAAGTCTAGGAAATACTTGTCCCAGAACCCATTATCACCACCAGAGTTCTGAGGCACCAGGTAGGCCCAGGGGGCCACAGGCTTAGGTGGGTGGGTGGTTCTGGAAGGGTAGGGGGCCCTAAGGAAGGGCTGAGGCCTGGCTTGCTCTGGCCTCTGCAGTGGTATACTACTATAGAGCCTCCCCTACAAGACACAGTGTTTGGGAGAATCCTGGGTGGACCTTTCTGTTTTGTATCATCTACTTCTGAGTTCTCTTAGTCTCCTCCTCACCCCAGGAAGGACCAACTCCTCTGCAGAACTCACTACATTCTGACTTCCTACGAGAACATCCTTCATAATGACATAAACGACAAGCCTTTTCCTGCCACATCTCCCACACTGTGTGCTCTTTACGTTTCTGCCTTTTGGGTAGTGTTTCTTCCCCCCTCCCTCCAGAGGTGAGGCCTTGCGCTTGTTAGGCAAGCGCTCTACCACTGAGCTAAATCCCCAACCCTTGGGTAGTGTTTCTGAAAGCAGGGGATTTTACAGAGCTTGTTTCTTCTCCCTTACAAATGAGCAGGGTGTGTAACAGTCTAGTGTTCATAGCTATAGAACAAGTACAAAGACTTGTAGGACTCAAAGCTATAGCCGTAATTCATCAGTACCACGAGGGTACCGGTTGTGGACCTCGACCCTGTTCTAGAACTTCGAAAACACCCACCACACCAGCAGCTTCAAACTGGGCAAGCTTGTAACATACAAAATGAGCCAAGAGAACAAGGCTAAGGGCTAAACAAACAGACAGCTCATTTTAATTATTGCCAGCATAATCTGCTGGGACAACCAGACTTCTGGGACACATTCCATTTTCTTTCTCTCAAAACAGTTTTGTTCCCTCAAGTATTCTTTACACACTCCCTATTTTTGATTCTAGAAGCATGATCAGCTGTTTTTAAGTCTTCTAAGAGTCTATGTAAAGGTCTCTCCTAGTTCTAAAACTACATCCTATGAGAAACTCTCCGGATCTTCAGGGCTGGGAGGCAGGCTGACTTTTAAATAGCCAAGGTTGAAAAATCAATAAGCAACAAGATTTCGAAGACTAGTTAATAATATGCAAGCTTAACTACTAGGAATGGAAATATACTGTTATCTGCAGTGTACTTTGGCATGCATGAAAATAAGAGACTGCTGAATGGGTACACAATAAAGGACGATAATAACTGTACATTCTAGGTGGTAGTCCATGGGTGTGCACTGTAAAAGTCCACATTTTCTGTATGAGTTGAATTTTTCCTAATTAAACGTCGGGGTAGAGGAGGTCTTCAAGACAGTGAATGGCTGAAAATATCTTTCTTCTTATGAACAGAGGGCAAGAAGAGCAGACATGCCCGTCCCTTCCCACCCAAGTCAGGTCAGCCCCAGTGGACGAAGCAAAGTACCAGGGAGAACAGTCCTATTTGCTCAAACAATGCCCCGTTTGGAGTATGCTGCAAAACTGACGTAAAAGCTACGGAACGCCCTCCCCCCAGGGCCCCTGATCCTTACTCCTGAGACACGGGTTCTCTGTACCAAGTGTGCATGAGAATTTCTGGAGGGCTTACTAAATGCAGATGTTTGGGCCTCACTCCTAACTATTCAATCAGGTCCTAGGAGATGGGGAAAGTCCAGGTCTTTCTGATGCAGAGGATCCTACGCTGTTCACTCCATCTTCCTTCACACCTGTTGAGAGCCCCAGGGGACCCACCTCCTCCAAGGTCCTGGATGGCCTGGGGCTTCGCCAGCCCACTGCCTTCCTAACGTTCTGCGGGAGCGCCTCGTACAGCCACGTCCAGACCTGCAAACGGGCGGGGGAAGGAGACCGAGACGGGCTCCTCCGGGGCCGCCAAGGTCAACCGCGGGTTTCTGAGGTGGCTTGGCGCGGGGACCCTCCCCGACTGACTGCCGTTCCTCTACCCTCCATATCCCGAGGAGAAATGACACACAAGCCTTCCTTACAGAAACGCAGAAAGGCGTGACAAGAGATCACCGGAGTGGGCTGGCCCCTCTCCGGCCGATAAGCCCGGGTCTGCAGGCCCTGTCGCTCGAGGCCCTGAAAAGCAGTCCCTCGCAGCCCAGCGGCTGCAGCCACGCCGAAATCAGCTGTCCTCCCTGATTCTGCGTCTCAGCGGGAATGGCCTCCACCACGCTACCTCAGCCCCGTTTACCTCGGAATCCAGGATCCCGAGGACGGAAGAACATAGAGACCCGCGCAGGTCCGGCCGGGTGCTCCGGGGAGCCCCTCTATCAGCGGACTCGGAGCGCACGGCGCCCCCGCACCCGGAGGACCCTGGAACTTGTAGTCGTGCTACGCAATCGCAGCATGCCCTGAGGCAGGGGGGCGCCTACGGCTCCCGGCACCCACCGCGCCGCCGAGGGGCGGGGGCGGGGCTCCGCGGGCTCGGTCACGCGGGCCGAGGGTTTCGTAGCCCAGCCCCCGCCTCGGCGTGCGGGAGGGGTCCAACCGGAAGCCGCCGCGAAGTCTCCGAGGCGACTCACCGTCTGCGGAGCCCCTCAGGGCGCAGCTGCAGGAGCGGAGGAGCTGTCGCTATCGCGCCCGGTTAAGAGGAAACAGCCAGGCTTTGGAGAAAGGCCCCAGCTGCTGGCCTCGCAGCGAAGGGCGGGGCTTAGCGCACACGTGACGAGCTCGGGTGACGTCAGTGGAGGCGCGTTGCAGGCGTGAGATAAGCACGTGGGAGTACCCAAGGACTGTCGGCTGCGGGAAAGGCTGGAGAGTGAGCCAGGCGCTGCCCGCGCCCCATCCCTCCGCCAGCCCCGCGCCCCATCCCTCCGCCAGCCCAGCCCTGCTGTGCACGGGCCAGGGAGAGGCACCACCCGCGCCTAGGCCGTCCAGGCGCTGTGTTTGAAGCTGAGAACCACACCAGCTGGCCCTGCCCTCACGCGGCTTCCATTCTGACAGACGATATACAAAAGAACCACAAAATGCCCAGCGCGACGAAACGTCCCAACAGAATTATGGAGTGTTGCCTCTGGGCAGGGAAGTTAGGAAAGGAGACTGGGGGCGAGGTGTGAAGTAGAGAGAAAGGAACTGGCTTTAGATGAGCAAGATCTGAAAGACACATTGGCCCGCACGGTGAGGACTCGAAGGTCACCAAGTCCATTTGAGGAGTTTGGATTTATTACACATGAAAACGGAAACCTTTGAGGAGCTCTCCTCTTCTTCCTTTTGTGTTTGTGTGTGCACTGGTCACTGGTGGAGGTCAAGGACAACGTTCAAGAGTCAGTCTCCTTCCAGCATGTGGGTGCTGTCTGTCAAACAGGCTTGGCAGACAGACACCCATGAGGCATCTCACCAACTCTTTTGTATGTTTGAGACGAGTCTCCCTCTGAAGCCGTGGGTAGCCTCGCACTCACTTTTTAGTTCAGGATAGCCTGACTTAGGACTGTCCTACCTCAGACTGCCAAGAGCTGGGATTACAGGCAGGGAGCCATCGCATGATGAGGAGTTCTAAGCACTGGAATTATAGTTGATCGTTATTCACAGATTTTGTATTCCAATTTCACCTGTAACATATATTCTGTTATAAAAATCAGTCCTTGTGCCTTCTCACTTGCTCATGGACATATGGATCCTGTGCATTCTTAGCTGATGTTACATAAAAGCAGCCTGTTACAAATATATTTTTGGGGGTGTATAGCATTAGTGGTTTTGCTATTTAAAGTTGTAAGGATAGGGCTGAATTGCTGTCTAGTGTTTCTAAGTAAAGAAAAAGGATTTTCTGCCCTTTGTGTAGATCATACCCACTGGTGATTAACATGGAATCACCAGTAAAGCATCGGTGTCATGTGAAGGAAAAAGTAAAACCACTTCTCCTTGGAGTCCAAGAGCAAGTTCAGGTTATCCTCTGCTTCATGCTCCCTCTGGGATGAGTCTGAATCTGTGCCTGCCTGGAGGCTGCCTTGTGAAGATGTATTAGATGAGTTTGCTTCAAGTTTAATTAAACAGAACCGATAATATATGTTAAATAAGGTGTCTTAACAAACACTCTGCCAGAGGTGGTGGCAAACGTCTTTAATCCCAGCACTCTGGAGGCAGAGGCAGGTGGATCTCTGTGAGTTCAAGGCTAGCTTGGTCTACAGACCTAGTTCCAGGACAACCAGGGCTACACAGAGAACCCTGTCTTGAAAAACAAAAACAAACACAAATACCCCAAAACAAGGTTGTATACTGATTAGTTGACAAAGAAAAAAGACGTAACCAGAGTCTCACAGGAATCTAACCCCGTATTTCTCCTAGAAGCTGTAGTTCAGCCTTTGCTAATTATTTGTAGCAACGTCATAGAATACAGCTACCTCAAATAATGCTATTTGACTATACATGATTTGACTGATACTTCATGGGCTCATTCTGACTAAGTATGAAAAATGGTTTAGACCAAGAGTGGCATTCCGGAAGCTGGAAGGCAAGCACATAATGCAATTTAAATTTTTCTACTAGCTCTAGCATTAGAGGGATAGGGAGATGGCTCAGCAGTTAAGGATATATAGTGCGCTTACAGAGGACCAAGTTCAAGTCGCAGCACCCACGTCAGGTGGCTTACAGCTGCTGTAACTCCAGCTCCAGAGGATCTTACACTGCTGGCCTCCACCAGTCCCTGTACTCACGTGTACATACCCTACACACAATTAAAAATAATAAAAATAAGCCGGGCGGTGGTGGCTCACGCCTTTAATCCCAGCACTCGGGAGGCAGAGCCAGGCGGATCTCTGTGAGTTCGAGGCCAGCCTGGTCTCCAAAGTGAGTTCCAGGAAAGGCGCAAAG